TTCACTGAGAAGGAGTGGGATTTGCAGAGTCTCCTTCTCAATGAGTCATATTGCTTCTGCCCAACCAGATGTGTATAGACCCAAAGAAGAGTGAAGGGAGAGTCTGCCCTGGAATGTAGATGAGTTCAGAGGGTCATTTACTAAATAAAATGGAAATCAATGCACTGGTTTCTGCCAAGAAAAGTAGTGAAAAGTGTTTCCAAATAAATATGTCTAGAGTGCTTACAGAGTACTTTTTAGAAATTAAGATGTTACTATCTGCCTTGTTGGTAATGAAAAAGCTCTTGTCTAAAAGAGCACATTAACAATCACACTCAAACAACCACATTTTAAAATTAAGAAACTTAGGGGCGCCTGGGTGGCTCAGTCGGTTAAGCGTCTGCCTTCGGCTCAGGTCATGATCCCAGGGTCTTGAGATCCAGTCCTGCATCGGGCTTCCTGCTCAGCAGAGAGCCTGCTTCTCACTCTGCCTACCTGTACTCTCTCTCTCTCTCTGTCAAATAAATAAAACTAAAACTTTTAAAATTAAGCAACTTAAAAGTATGAGGAAGAAAAGAAAGAAAAACCAAAATTTCACCTGTATGGTCATTATAAAGCTGTGTAAACTTTGGTATCATTCATCAAACTTACAAGGACTTTGCTGCACTGCTAAACTTCAATTAAAAAGTTTAAATAATTAGTATTGGCTCTTTCCAAAAATTATCTACTTGAAGGCTGACCCATATTTCTAATCAGAATTTCTGATTAGAAGAGAAAATGGTGCAGATATATTTCTGGACTAAAGGGAACACCCACCCCCCCAACCCCGTATTTCCTTGCCTTTACTAAATTGATTCTTGTGCAATAAAACTTCGTTGTCACCCAGCATGGTGCTTTGGGGACTGTTAACCTATTTTCTAATGACACCTATTTCACTTTTTTTTTTTAAGATTTTATTTATTTGAGAGAGAGAGAGAGAAAGAGAGAGCAGGGGCAGAGAGAGAGGGACAAGTAGACTTCCCACTGAGCAGGGAGCATGACGCAAGGCTCAATCCCAGGACCCCGAGATCATGACCTGAGCCGAAGGCAAACACTTAAAGGACTGGGCCACCCAGGTGCCCACACCTGTTTCACTTTAAATACCAGTCAACAGTTTGATTCACACAGGAGTAAAATAATTCATCTCATGTGCGCACTTAGAAACTCCAAATCTACCACTTCCTGGCCTATGGTCTGGCAGAAAGCTGTTCTCCTGACACTGAACTCAACTTATTTCATTGTCAAAAGTACTATAATAACCTAACTCAAAAGAAAGCTTGGTTGTACTTTTCAGATAATTCACTAAAACATCTCAATACATTTTCAGCATTAATGAGCTTTTGGGGTTTAACAACCTCACCACCCCTGCCAAGAAGCTACCAAAAATTCCCACTTCTCTACTATTAAAATAGAGTTGTAACTAATCAGCAGGTTCACAAATCAAGCCTAATTTCAAGTTTTGAGACCTTGAGCAAACTGTTTTTGGGGAATTTAACTTTCCTAGACCTGGCATCTCTTCCTGTAAAGTGAGGGAACCCTAGTGATCCTACGTGCTATGAGAAGTTGTTCTCTGACGTTATTACGCGTAAACAGTTATTCCAGTTTGGATAGAGAGAAGAGCCCGAGGGACAGAAAAGGTCGGAGAGGTTTCATTTTTTTTGTGGGATTGATCCTGCTGAGGGAATAGGAAGAAAGGATGGTCTATGGGGTAAAGGCAGGGGAGGGGAGGACCCTGAGAGGCAAGGATATCAGAGGATGATTGATGGGTTCTGTGAGATAACAGGAGAGAACATATCACGGGCCCAGAAGAACCGTAGGACAGAAGGAAAGGTAAGCGTGCGGAGGGGAGGAGGGCATCTGAGCATCCGAGGAGCAAGAATGGAAATGGGACCCTGTAGAAAGATCGAGAGGGATGCTGAAGGCAGAAGGCCAGGTTTCAAACCATGGAAGGAGCACTCGGCAGGAAGACAGGAGTGATAGGTGAGACCCCGAGGGCCGAGAATGGGACGTTGGGGGAAAAGGCCTCTGTAGGAAGACCAAAAAGGAAATAACGAAAGAGGAGATTGGGGATCCACAGAATCAAGAACGGGACCCTGGTGGGAGGGGCTCTGGGGGGAAGGGGTAACGAGAAAACGGGGACGGAGACCCCCTAAGGCCAACAACCTGACTTACTTTCTCCGCTGGACTTGCACGGCTTTGAACACATCTTCCCGTTTCAGCACCACGAAGTCGCCGTCACGGATGCGGTGGTCCCCAGGATGCGGTGGCTGTGGGCCCGGCAGCTCTCCTGAGCCCTCCATGAAGCTCAGCCGGTCTCCCCGCTCTGCAGCGTCTCTCCTGCCCCCCCCGCCCCGCCCCTCGCGCTCCGCTGTCGCCGCGGCCAGCTTCACTACCACAAGCCGAGTAAACGCAGAACCCTCCGACCGGCACCGCCCCCACGTGCTGCGCGCCGCTTCCGCTTTCCGGTCGGAACCTCGGGACAGCTTCCGGCAACCTCACGGCTTCCGTCTGGCCGAACTCTTTGATTGGCTGCACTCTGTTCCGGCCCTCTTGTCTCGCGGCTCCTTGGACGGAAGTTGCGTCACAGACGCGCCAAAAACGAATTTGGGAAGTTGACGAGGTCAGCTTGAATAGGTAAAGGCTTTCCCGCGAGGCTGCGAGGTGTCGGGGCGGAGCTGAGGCCCCCGGACTGCTCCAACAGATGAGACTCGGCCCCCGTGCGAGGACGTCAGGAGGACAGCAACTGAAGGGACTTGGGCAGGAGTCACCTGAGGAGCTCGAACCTCAGTTTCTTCTTGGCCCCACCTGTCTCCCTCCACCCCTTTCCGGGAGGAGGGGAGAGCCCGGCGGGGCACACCTGCTGCCACCAGGAACCTGCGCAGCTGAGAACCGAGAGAGCTTTGGGACCTCTATTTTTTGCAAGTAAGAACAGCTTGAGGAGACCTAAATGAAGTAGGGTATTTAACGAAGCACAGCAGACGCCCCCCCGCCGCCCCGCGGGTGGCTCCTTTACTCAGTTCTGCAGTCCTATTTCTTGCGTTCGTGTTGGAATTTTTACTAGTTATTCTCACTGTGTTATCTCATTTGGGAAAGATAAGGCATGTAGCGTTCTCGAAGGAGCGCTTCATCTTGGGAGTCTGAAGACGGAGTTTGGAGCTCAGTACTGCCGTCAAACAACTTGAATCTTAATGTTTCTCAGGGCTTCATTTTCCTGACTTGCGATGTGGTCTGGACGATTATCAGTTTGTCTTGTCCTAACATCGTGAGCTTGTTTGGGTATTAACTTATTTATTAATTAAATCCCTTCAGACAGATTTGGATATGGTCTTTTGTGAAGAATTGCCCTACAGTGTACGGATATATTATTTATTTCTTTTTATCCTTAGGATATGAACTATTTTTAAAGATAGACTTTATTTTTTAGAACAGTTTTAGGTTTTAGAAAAATGGCACAGAAATTGCAGAGAGTTCCCTTACATTTTCTCTTCCCTCCCCTCAGACCGGTTCCCCTTGTTAACACCCTGCAATAGTGTGCTACGTTTGTTGCAATAAATGGACCAATATTGATGCGTTATTACTAGCTAAAGCCCAGAGTTTATGTTAGGGTTCACTCTTTCTGTAGTACAATTCCATGGGCTTTGACAAATGCATAATGTCATATATCCACCACTGTAATATCATACAGAATCATTTCACTGCTCTAAGAATGCCCTGTGCTCCACCCATATGAGTTTTTTTAAAACCCATTTTAAAGGTCACTTATATTTTGAATCTTTGATACTTAGAACTATCTTTGAGTTAAAAAAAAAAAGTATCTTGCTATGTACAAAACAAAAAATGTGAAGAGATACTAGCAAAAAAAGGAGTATGATATATTAACAAATATGGATATATTATTAAAAAAACTATTGCATTTCAATGAATTTATCTAAAAACTAAATTAATCAGTATTGACCTGGAAATGATCTTTCTTTTATTGTCTTTTTAAGAAGTTGTTGAGTCCCGGAAACTTAACTTCTTTCTCATTTAACCCTATAGAGAAGAAAGATTGAAACGTGTATGTACCATGTCCCACTCCTATGCTTCCCCAGAAAGGTCTACATTAGCTGCCTATGTAAGAATATCCTTGTATCTCTGATAAAAGCGGATATGACATGCAGGATTGACTGTATATAAGGGGCTATGATGATGTATTCCTAGTGTCACAGGTCAGGATTATGTTCAGCCAGTGCTGCTGTTTTATATGTGCATTTATAAGTCTAAAACACTACAAACAAGTCATCTCAGAGTTAATTACTTGTCTTATTTTCATTGCTATAGTAGGAGCTCCTTGCAAACAGGTGCAGTACTTTATTTTTATCCCATGAACATTCAGTATACTTGGTGAAACACCATGGGTATACCTTAAAAAGAGATGGGACCACTTGCAATGACATGGATAGAGCTAGAGAGTTTAATGCTAAGGAAAATAGGTCAGTCAGAGAAAGACAAATACCATATGATTTCCCTCATATGTGGAATTTAAGAAACAAATGAGCAAAGGGGGGATAAAGAAAGAGACAAACCCAGAAACAGACTCATATTAACTATAGAGAACAAACTGATGGTTACTAGAGGGAGGTGGGTGCGGGTGGGTGGGTGAAATAGGTGATGATGGGGATTAAGGATGCACTTGTTGTGGTGAGCACCAGGGTTGTATGGAAGTATTGGATCACTATGTGGTACATCTGAAACATATTACACTGCATGTTAACTAACTGGAATTTAAATAAAAACTTAAAAAAAAAGAGAGAGATGGGAATTAGAAGGGTAACTGTGGAGTGTTTGAGGCTACATCTCCTATTACCATAGTGTACACTGTTGCAGGCCTGTTTGCTAATCTCAAACTAGAATACATTAATTTTCTCTTATTAACTACATTAACACATTCTTATCGCTATTTTCACTGTAATCTTGATGAAGATCTTGGTCTTTTAGAAAATATGAATGGAGACTATAGAGGCAGAGGATTTGGACGAGGAAGATTTCAGAGCTGGAAAAGAGGAAGAGGTGGTGGGAACTTCACAGGAAAATGGAGAGAGAGAGAACGCAGACCTGACCTGAATAAAACCATGAGAAAACATCCTTCTGGTAGGGGAGGACAAGGACTGTTCAATTTTTTTTCCTCCACAAAGGAAACTATGCCTGTCCTACAAAGCAGTTTAACTTAAATTTCAGTCTTATTTGATGTTACTCCTTAAAGTAGTATTCAAACATTAAGATCCAAAATTTTTACTGAAATGTCTAACTTAACCTGTAACTACTAATAATCATGTCAGCTTCTCAATCGGGAAGGAGAAGCAAGTTGGAAAAAAAATGTTCTATTTCTCCTGACCTAGTGCTTGCTTTGATAGCACATATACTATTTCTGCTGACCTAGTATTCTGCGTTTTTTTTGGTTTTGTTTTGTTTTCAGAACAAACCTCACAGACTTTGCTACTACAATCAACATTGGATCATTTAATACCATATAAAGGCTGGAAGCTTTATTTCTCTGAAGGTAGAGTTGAAAGTACAGAAAGTACCGTAAATTCTATTTTCTTAATTTGTCTTTGGATGTTACATCTCATATTACTATCATTTGGCTTACTGATAGATGCCACCTTCTTTAATTTTAGTTCACCCAAACAATTAAATCATGTTTGTTTCAAGAATATTTTAGGTTTTATATCAGGAAAGGAGAAACCTCACTAGGTATTTCAAAAAGGGATTTAATACAGGGAATTAAAATATACAGATGGAAGTCTAAAAGAGCAAAAGGGAAACATTGAGGTAAGCCCCCAGATAGTAATAACTTCTGGAAGCAGCAACCATCCTTATGCCTGAGGGTACAAAAGGTACAAAGTTCTGAAGTGGCCAGGACCTGGGAATTCAAAGGAAGGGCTGTTGCTTCAGCCACTGAGGAGTACCCTACAAAGCTGTGCTTGGACCTCTGAAGGGTGCCCTTCACACCTGTGCTCAGACCACTGCAGTGAATGAAGCTGCTTGTTGCTGATAACTCTGGTGGGACGATTACACAGTTGATGCTCAGAGCTGGAGGCTGGAACTATAGCTACTTTCTCCAGCTGAAAAGAATTGGAAACAATAAAATCCTTCTTTCTTGCCACCTTCCAGTCTTTAAAGTGTCTGCAATTGGCAGAACCTAGAGGGAGTCTGGGAAATGCACTGTGCAGATCTCGATCATAGCATCACAAAGCAGAAAATAGAGGGGTGGGCTTGGAACTGAGAGACCACCAACACAGGTTTGTGTAAAAACACACTTAAGGAATCTCCCCTTTTATAATCAAGAACATCAGCTAGCATCATACACTTTTCTTTATAGGTTTGGAGACTAGTCTTTTCTGCATTCTTTTTTTTTTTTTAAGATTTTATTTATTTATTTGACAGAGAGACACAGTGAGAGAGTGAACACAAGCAGGGGGAGTGGGAGAGGGAGAAGCAGGCTTCCCGCTGAGCAGGGAGCCCAATGCAGGGCTCGATCCCAGGACCCTGGGATCATGACCTGAGCTGAAGGCAGACGCTTAACGACTGAGCCGCTCAGGCGCCCCTCTTTTCTGCATTCTTAACAGTTTCTATGTTATGTCTTTTATTAGTTATGGATTATATGTGCATATATATCTGTGGGTTATTTTCCCACTAGATTGTGTACTTCTTTAAGAGGGCAAAGACCTTGCCCCATACCAGGAACTCAGTATTCATTTGGTGAATGAATAAAGTGCTTTACAAATGTTTTCTGTATTGAGTCTGTTTTTTTCTATTATATACACAGATGTGTTTCATAGCTGATGGGTCTTTTGCTGCTTTAGGATGCATTAGCTATCAGCCACCTGCAATATGTCCCTAGTGGTTAGCCCAGAACACTAGAAGTGATCTTTAGACTGGTCCTAAAGATGGAGTTCAGGAGATACCTTAGGTTTATATCATCTGTACTTCCAAACTACTTCATGGTATTATTTCTCTGCGGGAGACCAATTTGAAAATGTTACAGAACTTCCAGTATAAAGGTTTTAGGACCAGAGTGAAGTAGTGGTCTGTCTCCCCTCATTTCAGGATGTGGCAATATGGACTAGTAGAATTTACTTTGCAAAGACTGATTGTCTTTAGCTCTGTTTCTGAATAATTTATTTAGTTCATGTGTCTAGTTTTGGTTTTATTATAATTTTCATTTTAAGCTTTATTATGTAAGCTATTTGAACTACTAGGTCCTATTAAATGTCAAAGGTTCAGTACTAAGATTCCCAGATATTGGTGCTTTTAGAGAGAGTCACTTCCTGGGGCGCCTGGGTGGCTCAGATGGTTAAGCATCTGCCTTCGGCTCGGGTCATGATCCCAGGGTCCTGGGATCGAGCCCCACACCTGGCTCCTGACTCAGCGGGGAGCCTGCTTCTCCCTCTGCCTCTCCCCCTGCTTGTGCTCTCTCTCTCTCTCTCTCTGTCTCTCTGTATCTCTGTGTCTCGAATGAATAAATAAAATCTTTAAAAAAAAAGTCACTTCCTATTTGCATTTAAGATTATGCAGACCTAAACTTGTTTTAGAATCTTAACTATTCACTCAGTACTTACCTATATACTTATGTAAATGTAATCAGAATGCAAAGTAATTGGAAAAAGTCGTCTTCCATGTATACAGTGTTTCTTGCATCTCATGAAAAATGTCTCTACACGTGATTATTAGTGCTAATGCCATTTTGTTGGATCAGTTTACAGCAATAGCTCTCCTTTCATTCAGAAGATTCAAGCATTTGAAAATTTTTTCACAAGGCGTATTGATTTATATGATAAGGTAAGATTCCTGTACAACAAAGCTACTAATCCATCTTTATGTGTTGTCTTCTAGAACAGTATATTTGAGGTGCTAGTGATCAGTAGATGCTGCAGCCAGACAGCCTTGATCCAGATCCCACCTTTGCCACTTAGCTGCAGTATGGACTTTAGTGTATTACTTATGTTCTTTATACCGTGGTTTTCTCATGTATAAGTTGGGCATAATAGTATTAATACCACCAAGGGTTGTTAAGAGGCATAAGTAAGTTAATATATTTTAAATACTTTAAGTGGTACAAAACTTACTGTACTTACTCATTGTTATCACCATATAAACATATGCTTTTTCAAAGTGTGTAATGGAATGTTTAGTTATGATAGTTGACTCCACGAAAGCCATGATTGTTTTCATGCCTTGAAATTTTATAGGATGAAATAGAAAGAAAGGGAAGTATTTTGGTGGATTTTAAAGAACTGACAGAAGACGATGAAATGGCTGACTTGGTACCAAACATAGTAAATGAGTTGAGGGATGCACCTGAGAAAACCTTGGCTTGCATGGGTCTGGCAATACATCAGGTAAAGACTTCTCTTGTGCAGACTCTGTCAAAATTTTAAAGGAAGATTTTACAGTAACAGTACCTTCTCAAAAAGATACTTAGTTTTTAACCAACAGACATTGGCTAGAACTGAAAGGTTGCACTCCTGTCCTAAAAAATACCATTCATTCTGTATACAACAGCTTATCTAAATATGACATTTATTTTAATTTATTTGAATTAGTTTAGTCTATTGAAGATAATACAGAAATTAAAGAGCTCCTTGGAAACAATCTCATAGGGAAGATAAGACAAGGATCATGTTATCAGTTACGAACTTGGAAAGCAACCTCAGATTTAAGTTCTTTGACATGAGGCAAGTCATTTACTCTCCCTGAGTGTCCCCATATATAAGCTGAAAATAATATGTGCTGTGCCTGCCTGACTTTTTCTCAGGGCCAGTTGACAAAACGTATGTGCAAGTATTTAGGCTGGCAAAGGGGTAAATGCTTCAAGGTAAAGCGTAATACATCTCAGAACAGGCACGATAAAGTACTGACTGCATTCAGAGATAAAGATGAGACCCTCAGCAATTGGGGAGGAATGGGGCAAGCTCAGAGGAAGCCTTTATAGAGATGGTAGAGTTATGATGGGTCTTAAAGGGGTACTGAGAACTGTACATAGAGCAGAGGAGGTAATGGTAGCCAGGCGCAAGGAATCGTTCATTACAAAGATGTGTACGCTGCTGGTACTGGAGACTGGAAACCTTGGTGTTGTCTTCAGACTCCTCTCATTAATTCTTCGTATCCAAGTCACCGCATTCTTTCATTTCTATTTCTAAAATACCTCTTAAATCCACCTCTTTTCACCTTTACTGCATCAGTCTTAAACCTTCAGTATGTTTCCTAAATTGTTGCTACTATTGCTATACGTGGTAAAACATGATCTGTCTTTGGAAACTGCAGCAAAGTGAAATCTAAATCCTTTCTGTGGTGTTGAAGGCCTTCCATGATCTGGTTCACCTTTCTCCCCCACTTTCACTCACTACCATTCAGCTAAGCTGAGCTCTCCCCAGGATTCTTTCAATAGTCTGATCTCTTGCACATGCTATTCCTTAACCATGGAATGCCCCTTGCATTGCATATCCAAATTTGGGGGGGGCCTGACACTATTATCTCTCCATGAAACCTTTCTCATGACCTTTTTTCAAAACTTGCATAGTATTTTGTCTCTAAATCTTTATGGTCTTTATAACAATTATAGCTATGTATGTGGATGTTATTTTCACTCTTAGATTGTCAGCATACTGCTTTGTGTACAAGAGGTTATTAAATATTTATTTAATGTCAAATGCCAAGGTGGCGGGTACTGGGTATTTCAAAAGTCATTTTTATTTTATCTTAATAAATCACTGAATATGGAGAAATAGAAAATATATTTTCACCAGGGCCTGTCCAGGAGGTAATAGCTTTGAAGATTACTGTAAGGACTTTTACTATTAAGCTAATTTTGGACAGAAAGTAGTAGATAGGGATGCTGGAGTTTTCCAGGCCAGGGATCACAAAATCCCAGGTAAAACAATCCACTATAAAATAAGTAGTCACAATTAAATATCAGAATTTTAAAGGGCTGTTAGAGTTCTGTTAATATTCTGCTTTGAACTATTTATATTCATAAACTTCATATTTTCTATGAAAGAGTTCTGCTTCAAGAGGATGTTTTGTTTTCCAGCTTTTAAGTAAATACCTGTCCTGTTTAGGTATTAACTAGGGACCTTGAAAGGCATGCAGCTGAATTACAAGCCCAAGAAGGATTGTCTAAGGATGGGGAAACAATGGTAAATGTACCACACATTCATGCAAGGTGAGGATTTGCTGGTATTAAAGTATTATTTAGAATCTGGCATTTAAGACTGTTTAAGAATGAGAACCTCGGGGTGCCTGGGTGGCTCAGTCGTTAAGTGTCTGCCTTCGGCTCAGGTCATGATCCCAGGGTCCTGGGAACGAGCCCCGCATCGGGCTCCCTACTTGGCGGGAAGCCTGCTTCTCCCTCTCCCACTCCTCCTGCTTGTGTTCCCTCTCTCACTGTGTCTCTTTCTGTCAAATAAATAAAATCTTAAAAAAAAATGAGAACCTCATTTTATAAAGCCAAAGAAATCAATAAAAAAGGGTATGCGTTCTTTGCCATCTCATTGGTTATAACACCCAAGTGAACCCACTGAGAAATCTTCAAAGAGATCATGACAAAAATAAACTTCTCCTGCCTAAATAATGTGATTTCCCAACCTTCACATTTTTGTAAACATTGATTTTGGGTGTATACTTATCAAGTCCTTGCTATTTAAATTAATGCTTTATGTAATATACTAAGTGGTATGATTATACTTTGTTGAAATTACTAGGTTTCTATTAGATATAGTACAAATGGAATTTTGTTTTTCTTTAATTCATCTTTAAGATTTTAAATTTTCATTAGAAATCATCAGGGTTTTGTTTTTCTTTTCCAGAATTTATGGAAGACATTGTGTAATAGTTCTTGAAAAAGAAGTTAGAAACTGAAAAATCACTTTTTTTGTTGCCAAAATTTTTCTGTTGGCATTATTTTTTTCCTTTTCTCTTTTAGAGAACAGCCTAACGAAATAAGAAAAGGGAAGGTTTAGCATTTTTTAATTTTTAGGAATGATTTAATTCTTGTGATTTTTCTGATATATAGGGATGATATGGTTGGAGAACTCCAGTTGCTCCTAAAAGGAAGTTGTGAAAATACAGATAATGTCCACTGTTGGTTCATTTGTAAATGCATAGATAAATACATTCTTGTTTTTGTTTTTAGGGTCTATAACTATGAGCCGTTGACACAGCTCAAGAATGTCCGGGCAAATTACTATGGAAAATACATCGCTCTGAGAGGGACAGTGGTTCGTGTCAGTAATATAAAGCCTCTTTGCACCAAGATGGCTTTTCTTTGTGCTGCATGTGGAGAAGTTCAAGGTTTTTCTCTTCCAGATGGAAAATACAATCTTCCCACAAAGGTAATATGTTCTTTAACTAAATTATTTATCTTAGCAAAGAAGGCGAATCAGTTTACAAAAAACATTTCCCAGTGTTTCTGAACACAGAGCTTATTTTTATTTTTAATTTTCAGTTTTTAAATTATGAAATACTTCAGGGTATAGAAAATAAAGGAATAAAACATTTCTCTAATCACGACCCAGAATTTACATTTTGCCAGTTCCAGATATATTTTTAAAGATATAAAATATTACTGGGAGGGATGGGGTGGCTGGGTGATAGACATTGGGGAGGGTATGTGCTTTGGTGAGCGCTGTGAATTGTGCAAGACTGTTGAATCACAGATCCGTACTTCTGAAACAAATAATGCAATATATGTTAAGAAAAAAAAAAGAAGATAGCAGGAGGGGAAGAATGAAGGGGAGTAAGTCGGAGGGGGAGACGAACCATGAAAGACAACGGACTCTGAAAAACAAACTGAGGGTTCTAGAGGGGAGGGGGGTGGGGGGATGGGTTAGCCTGGTGATGGGTATTAAAGAGGGCACATTCTGCGTGGAGCACTGGGTGTTATGCACAAACAATGAATCATGGAACACTACATCAAAAACTAATGATGTAATGTATGGTGATTAACATAACAATAAAAAAATTAAAAAAAATACAGATATAAAATATTACTGATGTGATTAGTGTTTCTTTTGTACCCCCTTGCTTGTACCATTCCCAGAGATAATCATTATCCTGAAGTTAATGTGTATTCTTTCTATTCATATTTTTATATTTTGACTTAATAGGTATACACACCGAGTTTTCTTTCCTTTATTCTGCTGTTTGAAAGTGATGTGTTCTTTTTTTCTTTATTAACTTTTTTTAGACTATAGATCTAAAGCCATAGAAAAGTGGAGAGAATATTTGTATACCCACCATTATGGTTGACAAATATTAATATTTTGTGATTTTAGCTTAATTTTTTAAACATAAGATATTATTAGAATTAAAGTTGAAGTCTCTTTGTTGCCCTCCCTTGTTCCACTCACTTTTTTCCTTCCTCAGAGGCAGCCACTCTTCTGAAATTGGCATGTATTCTTCCATTCTGCATTCTCAAACCTGACTATATGTGTAGGGTTTGTTTTGTTGTGTGTTTTTACATAAATGGTATACTGAGTGTAACATTTCTGCAAACTTTTTTTTTCACTTTATTTTGCACTTTATCTATCTTAATACATATCTAAATTTTTCACCTTTACCATTGTAGAGTACTCCGTTGAATGAATAGTCACTATTTATCCATTCTCCTGGTGGACATTTGTGTTGTTTCCAGTTTTTTACAGTTATATAATGCTGCAGAGAACATTCTTGCATGTGTCTCCTTAGCAGAGGAATTTCTCAGTTGTGGGATATACTTATTGTTAAGTATTAGATGTTGTAAAACGACTTTTCAGAGTGCTTTTAGAGAACAGCCTAACGAAATAAGAAAAGGGAAGGTTTAGCATTTTTTAATTTTTAGGAATGATTTAATTCTTGTGAATTTTCTGATATAT